GACCGATCACACTCGGGGACTGTCGTCCAAAGACAAACTCGGACGACTCAGGCTATTGAAGCTCGAGGGCGCAAGACCTATTAGGCAGCTCCCGAACCTGAAAAAGGCTACGACCATCCCTACTCGAGGACTACTATCTTAGGCAACCCGGATAACTCGGGGTAACAAGCCCACTAAGAAACACCCGAAATAAAAAGTCTACTGCCATATTAAAACGACTCAGAGACGTCCGTGACCCGTAACAAAAAACAAAGCCTTCAAAATTTCTTAACCGATTCAAAGGCTATCATCGGCAAACTATAATCTAAAATACAACAAGTACTTTGGGGAAAGGTTTCCGGTCATACCAAACCCCCACGATATGTTAAACAAAATAATATCGGAGGCAAGGCATGTTTGAGCCTCCGAACATGACCTAACTATTTCATACTAAGGCATTTCGATCTTTGCAACTTAAAGAATAAAGCAAAGTAAAACAAGCTTAGAAAATGTTGAAGGGAAAAAATGAGCCTTATATTATATATATAGTCTTTACAAAGGCCAAACGGTCTTGACAAAAGTACAAAAGTACAAAAATGCAAAAAAACAAAAGAAAATGTACAAGGCACTTAAACAGCCTGATCTTCACCAGAGCCCGCCTCGTCGCCAGGGTCTTTGGAGTCTCCTCCACCCTCGGATCCGCTCGAACCCTTTGAGTCTTCTTCATCCTCGGAATAAGCCAACTTCTTGGCCTCGGCTTCGAGCCCCTTAGCACTCTCAATTTTGGCCGACAAGTCGAAACCCTAGGCATGAATTTCCTCGAGGGCCTCCCTTCGGGATTGCCACTTCTTGTGATCGACGATATCCTTCGTTCGATCCTGGTCTGCCTCGGCATCGGCCTTATATTGAGCCACCATCTCGTCGGCATCAGCTTTAACCACCAGAACTGCCGACTTGACCATTTCAAGCTCCTTGGCAATAGTTTCTCGGTCAGAGACGGTCGAACTCAGCTGAGACTAGAGCACCTCAACCTTTTTGGCCTACACCTCGAAGCTGACTTGCCGCTCGAAGCTGGACCTCAGCCGAAGTCAGCTGCGCCCGAGCCGTCTCCTTTTACGAGGCCAGGCAATCCATTATGCCTCTCCATTCTTCGGTCTAGGCCTTAATTGTATCCATTTCAGCTCGAATCTGGTCGATCCAATCGATCTTTTGTTGGACCTGCAGATTCCGACCATTAGTCACCGAGTCTAGCTCATCGTCCAGGTCGGCATGCTCTTTCCAAGACACCTCCAGCTCAGCTCGGAGGCTTTTAGCTTCCCCTTCACACTGCTCGCTGAGAAGTTTGTATCTGAGAAGTTTGTATCAGTGAGCCCTCGGACCTCAACCTCAAGATGGTTCAGCTTGTCCCGATATCGGAGAAAAGTCTCGTGATGAAGCACCGAGGCCTATTGACACAAAGAAAAATGTTTGGATTATCTATAAATTAGTCTAAGTACAAATTTAAAGTCATCAAGAGGTATCTGAAGTTACCTGGTTTAGCGCATATTGTGCTTCGTTGAACAGACATGGAGCGTCCACCTCATTCATCTTGGCTTGGTCTTCCTCGGTCACCAGACATCGAAGGTAACTGGCCACCCCTACGGGGGCATAGAGGACTCGGGCATACTCCGGAATAGAGATGACGATCGATCGCTTCCGGTCAGGATCCACACTCGGATCTGGGAACCGGTTGATTAGTTTTGGGCTTGAGGAAGGCCTGCTTGTTCCCAAAGATGGACTCTTCTTCGGCAAATCTAAGTCACCCAATCCGATGATGTCCTTTGTGGCGGTACAATCCACGCCATCAAAAAAGTCGCGTAAGGGGTCGTCCGCTCCGTGGGCCCCCTCGTTGGGACGTTCTTTCACCGTCTAAGCCCCATTATACATGGACTCAGTGAATTAAGGTAACTTGGTGATGTCTATCACACTAAGTACTTCCTTCGGGGCATTGCCTGTATCTCGGGAAGCCTCGGTCTTGGCCTCTGCCTCCTCGTCGGCTTCCCTAACTTGAGGCAGATCGGCCTCGCCTCTCTCCGGTTCGGAGGCCCCTTGCCCTTCGAGTTGCGACGACACGTAGGCCATCAGATCGAAGGTTTCTTCTTCTTTTTTTGGACTCGTCCCTCAACCGATAGAGTGAGTCCGAGGATGGTGCTCGGATGTTGGTACTTTCTTTAGACTTGCGCACCAACCTTCTTCTTGTTTTCTTCTTCTCCGAGCTCGGAGAACCCGGAGCCTTTTTTCTTTTATTCTCTTCGGCCTGTTTCGGGACAGAGGACTCGGTAAGTAAGTCCTCGCTACTGGCTGGAGGCCTCAGTTCGGCATCCTTGGATAACCCTGCAAAGAGAAGTAAAGGGAGTAAGGACTTCATGATAAAAGAGGCATCTAAACGTTACCTATTCAGGAAAGGAGTCTCACCATGGGAATGAGTTTCCCAACGGCCTTTCAAGAGCTTGCACCATGAGCGCTCGGAGTAGGATATTTGTGTTACGATGACCTCGACACACTCCTTGAGTCGAGGGACAACATTTGGGACCCGGGCGACAACTGCACCATCACAGAGCACCAATAAGATAGAAGGAAAAAAGTATAAAATTGACTTTTGAAAACGAAGTTATACTTACAAAATGTGTTCCACTTCTCGGGGAACGATATGCGCTCAGCTGGGATCATGTCTGAAGTCCTCACTCGGACAAAGCGACCTTGCCAGCCCCGATCCCGGTCTTCATCACTACTCGAGAACGGAGACTTACTGACCCGGCGCATGAGCTTTATCACCCCTCTAGAAGATTCAGGGACTGTATAAGTGTAGAAGATGGTCGACGGTGAATGAGCAGCCATCAATTATGCTCACGAAAAATCGGAGGAGGATCACGATTCTCCCAAGCGAAGGATGACTCTGAACGAGGCATACCTCGTACCTCTTGCAGAATTCGATGATGACCGACTCCATCGGGTCCAATGTAAAGAGATAAGTATAGAAACTTTGGTATCCCTCGACATAGGTGGTGATGGCTTCATCGGGGTCAGGAACCACCACGTGTTTGTCAACCCAATTGCAATCCTTTTTGACCGTAGAGAGGACTTCTTCAGTAATCGGGTATATGTATCTCGGGACCTCCTCACACCGTCCTTGTACGGAGGAAGGTTTTTCAACTTTAAAATCGGCAATTACCGAGCATCCTCCAGTGATGAACATTTTCAAAGAGGGTTCTAGTAATGGTTCATCGACGACGGTACACGAAACAGTTCCTTCGGCCTCAGTATCTGGCCGCGAAGTAGAAGGGTTTTCTTTTTGGGGAACGGTTTTTGAAGTCTTTGCCATTTCTTTAAAAATAGAGTAAGAGAGGAAGATGAGGTGGTACACTTGTTGGCTTCATATGGAAACGAACTAGAGTTCTTGCAAAGGATTTAAAAAAAAACAAAGTATAATTGCTAAAGAGTATTGAAATTTCGAAGGTACGAGGGTAGAAGGTTTGAATATAAAGTCGGGATGAACAAGGGAAGAGGTATTTATAGTATTTCAATGGCAGTTCACATCTAGTAATGGCCGACCGGTGGCTGACATACATTTAATGCCATTGAGACTTGACTGACAAGACGTTTCGTTTGTTTTGTCGTTTCTGTCACGGGGTATCAAAGTAAGAATCGGAAGCTCAAGTCGTTTCTCGCCGTCTACTCTCTGAAAAACGAGGGGACTATCTGTATACGATCAAAATCGAGCTCACCTACGACATGACATGTCAGGCCAGAAACGTGGCGATAAAGGGCTAAAGATCGATCCCAAGTCCTACCGGACTAGAGCCCGGGGGAAGGACGTCTGCCTTCGAGAATATCGAGACCGTGATCCCGGAATCGGTCCTAGCCTCGAAAGAGCTCGAAGAAACATTGTTAGCGAAGCCAATAGAAGAACGAAATATCCGTGACCGGTCGGATATTACGGCGGGAATCCCGACACGTATCAATAAGGAACTAACAATCAACAAATCAAGAGATTTTTTTACCTTTTATAGAATTGTACCTCAAGTAGGACTGCTCTACTAATATAAAGGGGGTATGATAATTCATTTATCACATTGTAACACGCATTCTAAAGCAATACATTATCATTTTTCTCTTTAAGCTCTTATTCTTCTATATCTTGACACCGATCGAAGTGCATCGGGTTCGAGGGTGATTAACCTTCCAAGACTGAAACTGTTCATTTCGTGTGGTTTGAATTTACTTTATCATTATTTATTTCAATTGTAATTTAATTTATCACTTTGCATCAAGCTAATGGTACTGTATTAAAAACGTTCAAAGAAGCAATTTTATTTACCTGATTTCCCCCTCGAACAACGTAAAGAGTCCATTCATGAAAAAGGTTAATGGCATGGATGTAAGTTATGCAACATGAGTGTAAGAATAGTATTCTAATTTAATCTTTGTAACAGGTTACTTAAAACTTTAAGTTACCTATTCATGCTAATATAGGTAGTTACTTATAATTGTCTTTTAAATAATTTAATTGTACGAATATATTTTACACCATCATATAGGAGCTAGATTTAAATGATATTACGTACGCAGAGGCGGAGGGAGAGTAGAATTTACGTGTTCGGTCGAACCCAATAGCTTGATACAAATTATGTATTTGTCTTAAGAAATTCATTGAATATGTATAAATTATTAATTTAGAAAAAGATTTAAAATCTCGAACTCATAAGTTTCAAATCCTGACTCCGCCTCCGTAGTTACGTGCCAAGTGCATTGATCTACTCCCTAATTAATCAAGTCTGTGTAATTTGGTATCTTTCGTATCGTATGCTTTACCCCTTAAATTCCTTGCCTCAAACACGAATAATTAGTTGAAGACACAAAGGATAACTGACAAATAAAAATTAATGTTTGGAAGAAAAATAATCTTAATATCCCTATTGGATATTGTGAGGACCATATATAATAAGAAACGACCACTGCAAGTTGACTTTGCTGAAGTTAAAGTCTTGCAGTAGCATCCCTGGCTAGTTAAATTTTCCTCAAGAAAAGCTCTCTAGTACATTATTTACACCAAGTTTGAGAAAATCTACATTGAGGTAAGCTATATTTTTGCATATGATATCAATCTTCCTTTACTACAGTAAATTAGCAGAATGTGTACTGACTAGCTAGCTTCCATCCTGATTTTGAGCAAATTAATTTCCTATATTTGAAATTTATAGAATTCTTGCTTTCTGCATAATAAGTTTGCATTCCTGAATTTAGTTAAAAGGGAAAAGAAAAAAGAACAATATTGCATCTTCATTTCTCCATCCAAGTGACAGTGAGAAACTTAATGAAAGAATTAACATAACGTGGGAAAGATGTACTCAAAACTGCAGCTACTGCAATACGATTAATCCACCAAAGTATTAGCTCTACACTTGGTTGATTTCACACGACGTGTGAATGCGATATTCGTTATCCAGCCCTGCAAAAGAAGAAGAACTAGAACTTGATGTCCAAATTTTTAGGAAGAAAAAGAAAGCTTTTTTGTTTGAACTTGCTATAATATGATTAGGCAGCAACTGATTCTGTTAAAGCAATACTTGAAATCAATATTGGATATGCACTTTCTAGCTAGGTGAAGAACCCCACAGTCACATTTATCTATCTTTATGTATTCTGATACCCATTTTACTATCCAATCAAACAGCCATGTAACAGCTCCAATCAAAATGCATCCACCCCATTGCTCCCAATTCAGTCGTGCCGTATTGCTAAAGAGAGGCTCTACTTCAATGAATCCCACCTGTAACACAAGAAAGAGCCCAGACACTGCCCAAAACCAGTAATTTTGGCCAAGTCCCTTGAAAAAGTTCTTCTGTTCCACCTCCCTTGCACTGAACATGTTAAAAATCTGGCACAAAGCGAACCCGTTAAAGACTACACTTTTGGTAACTTTTGGAGTGATGTACAGAATTGCACTTCCTCGGTGTTGCAGATATACAAAAATGCCAGTCTGATAACTAGCTTGAAATAGTATGTTTCTCCACACCACCTTGGTAACTAGGGGTTTTCTCGGTTTGATAGATAGTTCATCCCTTAGTTTTCTTGTGGTCTGTTGAGTAATTAGCAAAGCTGGCCCTCCAATAAACGTAACAAGAAGGTTAACCCAAACTAACTGAATTGTCGTTAATGGGGCATCTCTGTTGCATATAACCAGTATGAAGTTTATTGATGAGCTACTGATTGCCAAGATTAGCTCAAGTTGGATCCATTGCCTTAGATTCTCACAAACAATTCTTCCTCCCTTTATCCTGTTTATCACGAAAGTTATAATTTCAGGCCAGTTCATTACATTAGTCACCACAGGCAGGCCAAAATTAGCTGCTTCAAGTACCAGCTGATTACACTCACCTGCTACTTGTTCTCCTACCACAACCACCACTTCACCTTTTCTCTTCAAACACTCTATGAGAAGAAGCTTGTGTGCGGGAGAGGAATTTCCCATTATGAAAATTTTCTCAACTTTTTCCTTCCTATCATCTGCAGTGAAGTTGTAGAAATCTTCACCCTTAACCACTAGAGCATCGTGTGAATTGAGCAATCCTGTGTCATGACCAATAGTATCAAGTACTTCAACATCTTCTTCTGAGGCAAATATGGTCTTCACTCCGCCTTTTTTCAGAGTCGCAATTGCTTGCTTCATGTTGTCCAGATTGATAGTACTATCTTCTAAGACAAGCATACCAATGAATGTTAGCCCATTTTCATCAAGTTCGGCAACCTGAGTACGTTTGCAGGCAAATGCAACTACGTTCACATTGTTGTTAACTCGAGCAAAGTCACTCTTTCTTTCATCATCCAAGGGCTGTACTTGACCTTCTAAGTCATAGTAACTGGAACACTTGGACAATATTGATTCAGCAGGGCCCTTGAAGTGTGAATAGTACTCTTTCCCATTGTCTCCATTTTTCTCTATGACAACTCCACAAGGTTCTTCTAAAGGGTTCATCTCAATATCATTGTCATTCACTATGGTGCACTGCTGATCAAAAGTCTCTCTTTGCATACCCGTGTTCTTCTCGGCCCAACATAGTATTGGTTCTTCTATTCTGTGGTAGGCTCTTTGAGAAGTCAGAGTGGACACAACAATTCCATCAGAGAGAACACTGCAGACATGTGGCGGTATCTCGGTGACATCTTTTTTGCCAAGAAAAAACTGAGTAACTTCCAATTTTTGCTCTTTCAACCAGCTAGCCTTTTCTATACAGATAGTGGTGACTGGTTCCATCTTAACATCTAAATTCCAATATGCTATTGCAATTGAAACAAGAAATGGTATTCCTTCAGTCATCCCCAACATTGTAACACCGAGTAAAGCTATCCAAACTCTTGCTGTTTCCTTTGTTTCTGTTAAAACCTTCTTCATGGCATTCACTATTGATGCAAGTTCAGCTGGTTCTCCCTTGGTTTCTAACCTATATCCGTTCTCGTCATCTTTCTTGCCCAATTTAAAGCGCAAGAACACCACCAAAATGATCAAAATGCTAATCAATAGCCCACCAATATGTATGCAATTGCTCAACTTGTCAAAGTAGGCACAAAAATTGGACTCCGTTTCAGAAATCTTGTTTTCTTGGCTTGGTTTGTCCACTTGAACACTTGTAACAATCATTCTAGCATCACCATTAATCACCTTAGAACCAGGAGGCAAAAATGGACTTTTCTCATTGACGATGGACAATATTCCATCATCCAGCTGGAACAGCTCTAATGCTTCACCCGAAACAAACAAACCATGTGCAGGAACAGAATGTCCTTTCTTCACGAAGGCTATGTCGCCGTAAACAATATCTGAGGCCGAGATTGCCACTTCTTTGCCTCCTCTCATAACTTGTATCGCGTTTGCTTTGTGATCATTTTGCTTCTTCCAACAGCGCCTTTGGTACCAAATTCTTGCTATCTTAATCAGTACAGTCACAAATATGATCACAAGCAAAAGTGCTCCTTCAAACCAGCCATTCTGCATACCTTCTTCATTGATTCCAAAAGCAAATGACAATATTGCAGCCACTGCAAGGAGCAAAATTGTTGGTTCCTTGCGTGCTAATTGTAGGAAGAAGTGGCCATACTCAGTGAAGGTCATGTGATGAGACAAGTCTATCCCCTTGCGGCGAGAAATGTCTCCAACATGAATTCCTTTCTCGACATCACTACTCAATGCTTCTACAACCCCCTTTACTCCTCCAAAATTGTGAAGTGAATCCATGTTCTTCTCCTTCACAATCTCATTAATCTTGCTAATCTGTAAGCAATGCTGATGAGGCTGAAGCTCAATCTCAATATGATCATTGTCTGATTGTACAATATTAACATGCCAGGCACCATCAGGTGAAGCTGCGACAACTTCATCAAGCTGTATTTGATCTCCAGAAGCTTCCAATTCCTAGTTAGAAAGAGAATAATAGTAGTGTTATTAATGCATGCAGTATATATAACTTAAAATTAAGATGGTACTTTAGCTATAATGAAGAAGGAGAGGTATATATGTTTATATACGTACTCCATATTGTTGAAGATTAAAGCTGTTAAGAGGAGCATAAATATTGATGGTGGAGGATGACGTCACTCGAGAAAGAGATGCTATTTTTGCTCCAGCTTCAATGAACATCTGAGCAGATCGGACAATGAGAGCTGACCTCCTCATCAGTAATTAGCAGCGGCGAATTCCCCTGAGCTTCAAGGTCAATTCCTCCACTGTATGTCTTGATCCTCCATCATCCTATACTAGTTAGCTGGATATATATATGGCCGTACGTGAACTTGTTTTTTTGGAGTTCGTATAAAACAGGAAAGCATTGACAGAATCAGATCATATGATGGGGAATGAATATTGAAAATGATCAATTCATCATTAAATAGGGAAGAAAAGGATTCTAGAATAAGTGGTTTTAAAGAAAGAAATGGGAAGCTTCCTTCACTCCTATCCATCAAACATGACGCCATATATATATATATAGTTGAGATTGTACAAGTCAATTTTAATTGATAGTTCAGTAGTTTGTCACGTCCAACGGCGCATCAGCCTCTTTAATTGAAATTTACATGTTTTAAATGCTAATAGCTTGAATGAGAAACAAATTGGTATTGTCTTTATCAAATATATCTCAGAGTACTATCAGTAAAAGTTTAAATGTACATATTGTTATACTTTGAGCCCATATATATACTTGTTGTTATACTTAGGGGTGTATATAGGTCGGGTTGGTTCGGATTTTTTAATTACCAAATCAAACTAATTATATCGGGTTATTAAATCTAAAAACCAAACCAAACCAATCAAAGTCGGGTTTTTAAATCTCTGTTTTTCTCGAATTTTTTTCATAAAGTTTTCATAGCACAAAACATAGAATTTGTGCTCCAAATATTTTTTTAATCCTAGTAAGGTAGAACTATATAAGGTGTTTTTAATAAAATAATATAAATATGAAATGATTCATGGCATTGTACTAAAATATTCAACAATAAAGATGAGAAAATCGCATAAAATAAATATTATTAATAAGCTATAATGAAAACAAATATAATTTAAAATTACGAATAAGTTGCTAAAATAAGTACGACTAATAAGTACTATTATTTACATGACTAAACACTAAAAGAAAAATAAGTTATGCATTTTATCTAAACCATGAAAAAACTAAAAAATAGATATCCAACACTATTTTCATTCATAGTACAATTGAATTGAATGTCTTTTATTATCATTAGTATTGATTTGATTTTAGTTTAGGATTTTTTTGAGTTACTAATATTTATGGACTATAAAACTTATTGGAGCATCCAAAAATTATAAGTCCAAGCTTAGAATAATACGTTAAAAGATAAAATTATGAAAATATTTAAGAAATATTTCTAAACTACACTACAATAAATATTTTCATGCATTAAATATATTTAAAACTTCTATACATATAATGTCGGGTTGGTTTGGTTTCGGTTTGACTTTTTTTAGTTAAAATCAAACCAAACCAAATATCGTCGGGTTTTATTTTCCAACACCAAACCAATCAAACCAAACCATAGTCGGATTTTTTTTTCTCGGTTTGACTCGAATTATCGGGTTGGTGCGGTTTGTCGGTTTTATTTGTGCACCCCTAGTTATACTATTGGTTCAAATAAACTCATTTTCCATTAAATTTGTCCAAAGTGGACATCCGCTCCTACGTGGCACTGATATTTAATGATGTGGATGCCATAAAAGACTAAAATTAGAAATATAATATTTTTCATGGTATTGGTAATGGTGAAAATAGTGGAGGGGAATCAAGTTTTAGTCGTGGAAAAAAATAAAAGGGAGGGGTAAAATGGGTTAGGGGCGCTGAGGTGGCATGTCATGTGGTATCCATCTCATCAAATATCAGTGTCACGTAGGATTGAATGTTCACCTTGGACAAACTTAACAAAAGAAGGGTATATTTGAACCAATAGTTTACGACAGAAGTATATTTGGACCCAAAGTATAACGAATAGTATATTTCTTGTACTTTAATCTTTCATGTATAATAATTACTCAAAAGTTTATTTTAATAATATTGCATTATTTTATAAAATTACGTATTACATGACTCGACATACACGATGAAATGCACGTGCCCAGAAACTAGTTATAAGATAATCTGTATGGTGATGTTACTTCATGATTAACGTAACATATGCTAAGATTTTCAATAATGAAATGCCTGTTCAATCCAATGGTCAAATAGGCATGCATTCTCTTCTTTTCTCTACTTTTCAATCAAAGGATTAAAATGAAGCTTCCTAACAACTTCCAACTCCTATTTCAGGATTTCTACACGGTTTATAACACGCATTGACGACCCTTTCCATTGGTCTGATAAAGACGGGAAAAATGTTTAGGCTTTGTGGTGCTCTCTTTGTCACCGCTAAATCGAATGTGCCCATGTATGTATATATTTTATGGAAAATAAGTTACTTTTCATCTATTTTTCTTGTATTTGGTTAGGGTGCAAAATATATTTTGTGATTTATTTTTTCAATATCTGGTTGGCGAAGAGGAAAGTAACATCCTAATAATCCAACAGAACATCAAGTCAAAGTTTGTCCAAATCCAAGCCAATTCCTCATCCCATTTGGTTATTTTACATTTTGGATTAAACTATGGCCTCCATCAATCCCAATATATGAGTGTCTTTATATTGACATGAATATGAAGGTGACAGTTAAAATACAAGTGTATTCGAGTAGTCTATGTTCAACAGAAGAGAATCATTAAACTATTTTTATATGAAAACAGTAGGCTTAAAAGCATCACTTTTCGTAGAGGATATTAAGGATTGTAAACACCTCTGTAACATAATTTTGTTGTAATACACTCATGCATTCGAAAACCAATTTTAGTTAGCTTAGACATCGAAGACGTCGTAAATGTTACTCGTAATAGAATAAGTACTGCGTCGTTTTTGTCAATTTCTTTCAGATTAGTAATGTAGATAAAGCTCTCGTTGATGATAATTTGTATCATAATATAATTTACCACACAGAAATTGGAACCAAGAATTTGATATCAACTGGCGATGCTTTATAGATTTTGCTAGCATTTCTAAGATAACTTTTCTTTACACTTGAGAATACATTTGTGTTATTCTATAACTGAAAATGTACTCTAGGATTCAATTTACGATAATTTCAATTATTTGTACGGTCAATCTTATCCCTATTTTCTGACGGACTTTTACTTAAATAGTTAAATTAAAGTTTTAATTTGTACTCTGACAATTGTGTCTGTATATGGTCGAAATAGATTTCAAACTTTCTACGTTCGATTGAGTTCGAATGGTAAGTAACCGGAGTGGGATTTTGGGATGAGTTCTGAAGGCCGTACAAACGAGCCTCGAGTCCGAAGGCTGATCGAGGAGCCGACTAGATACTTTTATCGAGTCCGTGACCAAATTGATCTGCAAGGCATTGCTTCGATGTCAGAAATGCGCTACGCCCACCCCGGAGGTCGAACTCAAGCCAAAACCGAGGGCTCGACCCAATAACAAGTTCGAGCCAGTGTCGAGCTCACAGACAAGAGCCGTTACAACCGCACTAAGAGAGAGAATCTTAACGGAAATTAATCGAGGAAGAGACAATTCATCATGGGTCATCCACTATATACTTTATTTTATTATAAATAAAGTAGGATCCCTCTATTATAAAAGGAGGAATCCTTGTAAACATACGGACACGGAGAAAACACTGTAACAAAAAATCACTTCTCATATTGAAAGATATCTCCTCTTGCTTGTTTTATTTTACCTTATTCATTCTTTTGCTCATTATTCCATTCTCATAAACAAGAACACACATATTTCTATTTTTCTATACGATTTGTATCAAATTGTATCACATATTCTTAAAATCATAAACAAATTTAACGTTATCTAATTTTTCGGGTGAACAGTGTCCAAACTAAATAAAACAACGTAATTCAGTTTGGTAACGGATCAAAAATCCTGCGAAACCACATAATTTCAAAGCAGAGCATGGTCTAAACCAAAACAAGGCGGAACCTTTAATTTTTAACACTTGAGTTCAAAATCATCAGCAAACACTTGGGCAGAGATGGTTGGTTTTATGATTGATCAATTGCACCTCAAATTTGAACTAGGAGCTAGCTCTGTGAAATTGTGAAAACTAACTCTTTAAAAAACATAAGGTAAAATCATATATAACAAACCTAATGTGATCAGTGGCGGACGCACGTAGTGCGTAAATAATACTGTGTATATATATAAATTAGGATTAAAGCTGCATAAATTTTGTATAAATATTTTATTTAAACCCACTTGACAACTATTATTTTACGACTAAAGTTATATACTTAGATTGAACCCACTTGTACAAAATCCTGAGTCCGCCGCTGAATGTGATCATGCTCTTTCTTTATTTGTGTATTGTGGAAGTTTAATGCACTCTTTCACAAGTGTAAGATTGAGTTTGGAGACTACTATTTTCCCAACCTATTCATAAATAGTAAATTCTTAGAAGAAAATTGTCAGATAAGGAAAAATATATGAAACGTGGGCACCTAAAATGTAAGATTCCGTAACATCTTTCACAAATGACTTACTATTTTTAGTATACGTTTATAACATAAGTCACATTGCGTAGTCAATGTCTCAAGAAAACTTTATTTCATAAACCCTACGAAGTGTTCTAAAATCTCATGACTTCGGTCTAAACTAAATGGTGAGCAAATATATTCGCAAGATAGTTGTACAAATACATAGTTAATTTGTTTGTTTATTCCTTTGGTTAACTTTTTTTCTCCATACACCTATGTTACGTTGGAGAGACAGCCCAATAAAAAGGCCCAACTAGCTGCTACATGAGAAAGTCCATTCTTTACTTTGTAATCACAATTCTACTTGCTTTGGGTTCATATTTGTAACACGCGCTAATTGTATATACATATTAGAAGGATCTAGATACATGGGCATTAGACATTTTGACGGAAATAAAAATATCCTCTTCCTCTCTATTGTACTCTCTTCATGTGTAGGGTTTATCATTCTAGTTTTGCTTCTGCAATTCGATTTTGCTGCTCGAACATGGTATCGGAGCAGGGATTCAAGCTCATCTCAACCTCCTCTTTCGATCGATTATACCTTTGAGGGTTTTCTCTGGTGAAATTGTTCGTCGATTTTTTTGCCCATTTTCGCCTGTTTTCTTCGTTTTCACTGCAAATTTCGTCAATTTTGCTACGTCTACGACTAGTTCTGAGTTTTTTCGAGATTTTTTGTGGTGGTATATTGTACGTTCTCCGGTGGTATGTGGTTGAATATTGTGATTTTTTTCCAGTTCTGCTATCAAGGCATTACCTTCTTCAGGTTGCAGAGAAGTACGATAACTTTCTATTCAATTCTACTCGATTCTTCTTATTGTTTTGCTATTGCATGCACATTTTTGGTTCAATATGGGTAGCAATATAGAAATTGGAAATAATACTAGGTCTTCCACATCATCTGACGATGGGTTTGCCTCGTTCTCTATTGAACCGACCCATCTATTTTATATTCATCCCTCGGATAGTCCCGGAACTCGCCTAATTTCTGATATCTTTGATAGGAATGGTTTTTTCCTTTGACGAAAGAATATGTTAGTAGCTCTCTCTGCCAAAAATAAACTAGGACTTATTACTGGTAGAGTCCCTCAACCAACCTTGAATTCTCCCTACTATTCTTTTTGGGAGCGTTGTAACGATATGGTTATAGCATGGATTACTAGCTCCTGTCACGACCCAAAACTAACCCTTGTCGTGATGGCGCCTATCGTGGAACTAGGCAAGCCGACTCATTTCCAAAACAAAATGATATTTTAATTTCAAAGATAATTTCAAGATTATTTAACATAAAACGTCCATTTAAAGAGTTCAAATCAAAGAAAAACAGAAGTGCAGAAAAGAAAAGCCCGACATCGGGGTGTCACTAGTCATGAGCATATACTACAATCTATCTAACAATATCAAGGCTAACTCAGCCCGGAAAATAGCTAAATACAACTAGAGGAAGATAAGAGGGAGAAGAGCAGGGGCTGCGATCGCCAAACAGCTACCTTGCTATCTCCAAGAAAATCTGCAACCAGAACACTCAATAACCGCTACCATGTCCAGCTACACCTGGATCTGCACACAAGGTGCAGGGAGTAACGTGAGTACGCCAACTCAGTAAGTAACAACAATAAATAAAGACTGAGCAGTAGTGACGAGCAATAAAGCATATAACGTTCTTATCAGAAAATCTCAGTAAAATACCACATGCTCTTAAAAAAATCAGGATTTGAATCAAACATCTCGTTTAAACCCAATTCCAATAAAAATTATTTAAAGATATTTTTCCAACAGTTTTTCAAACAAAGGCTCAATGCAAAGGTGAGCAAAAATGATAAAATCATAAACAGCCCCTCGGGCAAAACATCACTCATATACAGCCCCTCGGGCAAACCTCACAGTCACTCGTGCCACTCGGGCATACCTCACAATCACTCTTGCCACTCGGGCATACCTCACAATCACTCTTGCCTCCTAGTCACTCAGCACTCGCACTCAGTAGGTACCTGTACTCACTGGAGGTGTGTAAAGACTCCGGAGGGGCTCCTTCAGCCCAAGCGCTATAATCTGCACGGACAGCTCACGTGCGATAATAATAAAGTATGTTGCAGGCGGGCAGCCCCGATCCACACTCATCCTCAC